ACTCAAACTTCCAAAGGGCTATAACTTTGTTACTTTAATTTTACCAGAAAAATGGTAAAGGAAAAAAACAGTTCTTTTGATCAGATCTACTCACTGTTAAAATAAATGACTCAACTTCGAAGTCACCCTATATAGGTGAAAAATTAAAGCTTCCGCCTTTTGTTGGGTACTTCGACAAAATTTAAGCAAAGAGGACTCTTTATACTTTTTTAATTCTCTCTAGCTTTCAATGGACTTTGCCATCATCATCAGGAGCTGCAATTACAATGATAACAGTAGCAACAAAAGTGTAAAATGAATTTAAATTGACTCAACTTACAGTAGTATGTGAGGATGTTGCTAATTGTTGTTTACGTATAAGATGAGGGAAACGTCCAGTAACATGATGAGAGCTGGATACATGGTACAATGGTCAAAATTATATAAAATATGACAAGAACAACTTAAAGACATTAAAAATTATTTAAAAACATTAGAGCATTACATCGTGAAGCCACTTGATGATTGTACAAAATGGTGGTCATGGAATAATGAGTGAGATGAAACTTTTTGACAGAAGGCCGAAGGTTGTCAATGTCTGTGTTGAAAGATGGAACGAATTGTGGGCGTATGACAAAACGTTGCCAAATCACTTCAGATGATGTGATTTTCAGAATGTTATGTAAGAAATTGTTAAACCGACCAGAGGCAGTTGAATAAACTATATTTTAATTAATGGGAATTTAAATTAACAATTATTAATAAATCGTGAGAAGAGAATTATTAGATTTTGAGTGGAATGAAATTTACTGGTGGAAAAACACAGATTCTATTTATGGTTGTGAAGAGTCGAAATTTGGGGAGATATGTAAGTTCTAAACAACAATTAGCAACATCCTCACATACTACTGTAAGTTGAGTCAATTTAAATTCATTTTACACTTTTGTTGCTACTGTTATCATTGTAATTGCAGCTCCGGATGATGATGGCAAAGTCCATTGAAAGCTAGAGAGAATTAAAAAAGTATAAAGAGTACTCTTTGCTTAAATTTTGTCGAAGTACCCAACAAAAGGCGGATGCTTTAATTTTTCACCTAACTGGTCTAGACGACAATGACCACGTCTCAAGTTATATATATATATATATATAAGTGATTTGCTCAAGAAAAAAAAAATACACCCCAAAAATATTAAGGCAACTCAAAATTTGAGAGACAAACAATACAAAAAATGTATATTCACAAAATCATATGATGATTGGGAGGTATATAAAACTTTTAGGAATAAATATTTGTATGTAATTAGAGAAGAAAAAAGGAAATTCTACGATAGACAAATCGATAATAACAAGTGCGACAGTGTAAAGATGTGGAAAACTTTAAAAAGACTGATCAATTCGAAGTTGCATGATTATGTAAATCAAGTTCAATTTGAAAACGGTAAACAAAGTCTTTGGTAATTGCAAACAAACTAAATGAATATTTTGTGGAAAGTATTGTCGATATTGTGGGTATTGTCAATGCTGCACCTGACTATATGAAAATCAGCTTCTAGTGGGAAGTGTTGCATACACTTTCAAAATTTCATAGCGTATCATTGAAAAAAGTAAACAGTTTAAAATCAAACAATAACATTGCCGAAATCACTACTAAAAACGTGCTAAAAAACTGTTTCGAAATTTTGGGATATCCTGTATTAAATTGGATCATTGTTCACTGAGAAGCAGTTCTTTTCCTAAAAATTTGAAATGCTCTACAATAACACCAGTTCCCAAAATAAAAAATTCTAAAACATGCAGCGATGTGAGACCAGTAAATGTGTTACCAGACATTGAAAAATTATTAGAGTCCATAGTGCATGACCAATTAATGCAGTTTATAGAAGAAAACACAATTTTAGTGGAGGCTCAAGCAGGCTTTCCAAAAAAAAATATTCCACAGAAACGGCTTTAAGGTAACTGAGAATTGGAGAAAAGCCATCGACTCAGAAGAAGTTGTCATAGCAGTATTTTTGGATTTGGAGAGGGCATTTGAAACGATTGATAGAGATATTTTGTTAGATAAATTGAAGGCATTTGGTATATTAGGAAGTGTTTTAGATGGGTTTAGAAATTATTTGCCTAAAAGGATACAAGTTACAAAAGTTAATGACACTATTCCATCAAAAATTGAAAATACGTTGGGTGTTCCACAGGGCAGTATCCTGGGACCACTTCTTTTTATTTTATACATAAATGATTTACCTGCCATAGTCAAAAAATGCAAAATTCAGTTATTCGCCGATGACACTATGATTTATATAAGTACTAAAAATATCCAGACTCTTATCTCTTATATAAATGAAGACTTGAAACTTGTCTCAAAATGGTTAGCAGACTCTAATTAAATATAAGTAAAACGAAAGCTATGTTAATCGGAAAAAACAATGTACAAACGTCCAACTGAATATTGATGGTGAAGATATTGAATTCATAGAAAATTTTAAATGCCTGGGGGTTTTTGTTGATTCTCGATTAATTTTTAGATATTCATTATGAAAAAGTTATCAATAAGATTAGTAGTAAGTTTGAATATTTATCAAGAGTTTCTGGATGTCTGAGTTCATATAGCAGAAAAATTATCTATAATACCATCATTCTTCCAAATTTCTTGTACTGTTCGACTATTCTATATTTAGCAAATAATTCCATTTTGGAAAGACTGCAAATTTTACAAAACAAGTGCATGAGAATAATACTGAATAAAGATAAATATACTCCAATTAGACAAATGCTTAGCAGATTAAAATGCCTCAATGTAATTTTTTTTATTAAATATCTTGTAATGATATCAAGTAAAAACCAATATATTTCCATCAAGTCTAACTAATTTAACATCATCAAATGCCGACCACCATTTACATAATACCAGAAATAGATATGACTTCCATTTAATGACCGAGAAGTATAACATATGCTACAGATCTGTATAACATCAAGGGTTGATTGAATATAATAAATTATACACAGAGATAAAAGACCAGGAAACTTTGACAAAATTTAAAGTAAAATTGAGTAATCACTTGTTAAATCTACAATTATAGCTTGCCCAGCATTTACATCATACATCATATGGCTTGAATTTACTAATTCCAAGTTGTTTATAATTATAATGTTTATGTAGCCAAATGTGCTAAATAAATCTTTTTACTACTACTACTAGCTCTTCATAAATGATCTAACTTCTTTTATTTTTATTTTTACGAAAACAGTGCACTCTAGGAAAAAACACAAGAGTAATTATTTGTGGCAAATTGAAGGTAAAACAACGCGTTTCGAAAAACAGTTTCGTACTATTTTTATTTGGAAGAATAATGCCACTAATCCCCTGTATCTCCGCCACTGGTGCACGTTAATTTTAAGTAAAGACTTTTGAATCTGGACAATGCTTGGGTAAATCCACGTACCAAATTTTAGTTCATTCGGGTTGACGGTTTTGAAGATATTAAAAAATTATTTTTTTATTTTTAAACTTTACATCCTGTATCTTTTTAATGAAGCCCTCGACGAAAAAAGGTTACATAGAAGACCCCCCCTAAAAATGCGGTCCTGTGCATGATGTTGCATTTCTGGTCACGACTTGTGAATCACCCTGTATAAAATTATTCGGCATCTTAAGACAAAATTTTAGAGGCTGGTTGTCCCCTTCCATGTTAAAGTGGAGTCTAGTGGGAAAGTTCACATTTCAAATTTGAATTACGCGGCAACCGTATAAGCGAGGAAGTGGGGAGAGGTCTTGATCGACGAGTTCGGCGTGCGGGCTAAATAGTCACAATGGAACGTTGGACCGGAGCGCAACGTGCTTTTGCTATCGAGGCTTGCTTTAAGAGTGATGATTCATACGCAGCTGCTCTTCGGAAATTTTGTACACGATACAACATTCGCCGACCAAGAGATGCCCTAAGTAAGAACATATTGAGAAAGTGAATTATGAGGTCCCATGAAATAGGCTCTACTCTTAGTCAATCCATTTCTGGCCCCACACCTACTGTATCAACCGAAGAAAATGTGCGTCGAGTAAGTGATTCGATCATTGCAAATCCTCGGCGTTCTGTACGGAAGCATTCCGCTGCTTTGGGAATCCCTTGGTCAACACTGCATGGCATAATGGAGAAAAAAAAAGAGTTTTCATCCTCATAAAATCCATGCTTTAAAGCAAAGTGATTACGGATTACGGAAATCTTGTGCTGTTTTCAGTGACGAGGTCCATGGTCACTTAAACGGTTATGTGAACAAGCAAAATGGCAGATCTTGGGCACCAACGAACCCAAAGAAAAACATCAACAACAGCTACATAGTCCAAGGGTGACTGTTTGGTGCGCCATATCCTCTAGCGGTATTATTGGGCCATATTTCTTTGAAGATGAAAACGGTCATGTATCGACAGTCAATTCCGAGCAATACAAGGACATCATTGACACTTTTTTTGAAACGGAAACGGAAAGTCGGTTTAACAGAAACACATGATTCCAACAGGATACTTCCATGAGAATCGATGGACATGGTGAAAGCACTTTTTGCTCAAAAGTTATATCGAAGTTTGGAAACATTCACTGGCCTCCTAGGTCACCTGACCTCACGCCATGCGATTATTTTTTGTGGGGTTGACTAATGTCAAAAGTGTATTCCAATAATCCACGAACACTGGAGGAGCTTAAAGACAACATCCGACGAGAACTAAACAAAATCAATCCGGAACGGTTAGAAGAGTGTGTCCGAAATAAAACTCGCCGAATTTACGAATATGTTGATATAGTAATTAATATGTTCTTTTCATTAAGTTTGTATTTTTCCTCAAATCAAGAAGTGAACTTCTCCACTTTACATCCTGTACATCAAAGTATCCTCCTTGATTTTAGGCGGAAATGGATATATCAACGACTACCCAACAGGGCGCTTACTGAGAGACGCAAAACTTTACGAAATAGGAGCTGGTACTTCAGAAGTTAGGAGGATGCTGATAGGGAAATCAATCAACGCAGAGTACTCGTAACATATTTTTATACAAATAAAATTACAATATAACAACAATCCTTATCTATACATCATGAACGAAGATTTGAAGCATATATCGTTCACAGCTTCATGCTTTTTCTGCATGAAGATACAGCTATTTTTTTCTATGACATACTTCCATAACTATAGTTCCAAATCGGCCGGTTTGACTAGAAATCACTCATCCGCTAAAATTTAAAAAAAATAAATAAAATAAATAAAAGACTTTCCCTTACATTTAGTCTTATATCTAGGACAATTGCGCTTGATATATATATTCACAAACCAGAGAAACACAGGAGAAGAAATATCGTTATACAATTTGTTAATATTACATAAAATAGTTGCAAATTTGACCGGTTAACTTCCCACAAATTTCCAATAATCAAAAAATAGTGCATTTGAAGGGTACGGTGCAAAAACCGGTCAACTCCATTGTTCCCCAAATTCACCTTTTATATGAATCATATAGGACAAATGTTTGCACATCTTTTGGTGCATCTGCCAAAAAGAAAATATTTTGTTATTAGTTTGGTGGTAAGTTATTTTACAATACCATCACATAATTGGTATTTTTTCCGATAGAAAATTCCTACAACTAACAATATTGAAAAGTTTTTAATGATTTTCCACAAATTATAAACCATGGAGTTGACCGGTTTTTGCACCGAGCCCTTCAACTATTCTTTCCAATATTTTCTAATATCCTGAATCATTACCAATTGTCATATACAGGCTGTCCGGTAAATAGTACGACAAAAAAAATGGGGAAGATAGGCGTAAGGCATACATACCAAAAAATGGCCCTAGTAAACGTTTCACTGGTTTTGAGATATTATTTTTTGTGGCTTTTTCGAAAAATTTCCTCGTTTGATCTATCTTTTGTTGCTGATTAAGCAGGTAATTTATCGCAGTAGCAATCTAGTACATTTTTATTTCATTGCTGAATACCGAAGTTGAGTAAAATACTTTTCTAAAATAAAAATTACGAAGAAGATATTAGTTTGTCAAGTTTACCTACTTGTATTTATCGAAAATGATAATCCAAATGACAGACCAACTATCTGAGAATATTTTGCAAAGCAACAAACAGATATCCTGTTATTTCTAGGCATAGCAACAAAAGATAGATTAAAAAAGGAGAGACAAAAAAAATAATATCTCAAAAACAGTGAAACTTTTACTAGGGTCATTTTTTGGTATGTTGTAGATCTGCACTTCGCCTATCGTTACCATTTTTTGTCGTGCTATTTACCGGACACCGATTATGCATTTTGAGGATATGTTTTTGAGTTGAGTCGAAACATGCGGACCCATATAGCAAAATTAAAGTGGGGCACATTAGTGGTCCCTGAAAAATTTCCATCTCCAGGGGGGCAGGAGGTGGGAGTGCTGGAGATTGAAAATTGAGTGCTCTTCAATTTAACCCTTAACTACGGACATGGAGTCTCGTAGACTCCGCCGCGCAAATATCGTACCGTACTCACAACAAAAAACACCCAAGGTCAACGCCGCTTCGAGTAGCTTCCGCTTTTTCACTTTGCTACAGCGTGTTGAGGTGATTACTTAGCATTTATTTTTGATTTTGGAGTTACGTACATTTCAGAGTCTGACAGACTCCTTGTCCGTGTTAACGTCAGTATAGTGATATTTTATTATGGCGACTTCTAGGCCAAGTTCTTCCAAACGAATTAATGTTTTGGATCCTAACTTTGAGGAAATTGCCATGAGATGGTTCAATGAGGTAGACAATGAAAACAGTGATATTGAACCTGATGAAAATGTGTTCATTGAGAGTGAACATGAGTCAACAAGCGAGCAAGAGGCGTCTGACGATGATCCTGATTACGAGATTGAACATGACGAAGACATGGATATTTCCAGTGGCGAAGATGATGCTACTATCGGAAGTGAACAGGTGTTAGAACCTAACAGATCAGGAAATGAACGTAAACGAGAAAATAAATACCTGTATGGAAAAAATAGATTCAAATGGAGCCGACGCGAGCCAGAACGAAGAGTACGAACACCAGCACATAACATTTTGCGACTTCCAGCAGTTCGACTAACTGGAAATTATGAAAAGAGCCCTATTAAATTGTTCAAAAAATTATTTTCTCCTGAAATGTATGACTTGGTTATAGTTTGGACAAATGCAAAATTAGCTTCTATGAGAAGAAAATACAAAAGAGAAAATAAACCGGAGCTAGCAGATATTGACAATGACGAATTAGATGCCTTTTTAGGATTGTTATTGTACACCGAAATTTTCAAAAGTAACGATGAAGATGTAAGAAGTATTTTTGCAACAGACGGTAGAGGCAGGGACGTATTCCGAGCTGTTATGTCTCAAGAGCGTTTCTCCATTTTGTTAGTGGCTTTGCGATTTGATAATCCAGAGGACAGAGAAGAAAGAAAGAAGGTAAATCCAGTAGCAGCTATTAGTGAGCTGTTTGATATGTTTTGCGAGAATGCTAGATGTTCATATACAATTGGCGCAACAGCTTGCATAGATGAAATGTTGGTGGGATTCAGGGGAAGGTGTAAATTTAAAATGTATATCCCATCCAAACCAGAGAAGTATGGGATAAAAATAATAGCAATGACTGATGCAAGAACACAGTATTTATATAATGCATACATTTATGGTGGTAAAGACAGCGATGGTCGTGGTCTAACAGAAGAAGAGAAAAAGCTCAGTAAACCATCTCAGGCAGTTATCCGGCTCGCTAAGACTATTTTTCACTCAAACAGGAACATAACGGCCGACAATTGGTTTGGATCTATGGAGCTTGCCCAATACCTATTAAAAAATGGCCTTACATTTGTGGGAACACTAAAAAAGAATAAAAGGGAGATTCCCACTGAGTTTTTACCTGCAAGAAAACGCAAATTGGGTGAAACACTTTATGGGTTTACGAAAGATGTTACAATAATCTCACATGTTCCCAAGAAAAATAGAGCAGTAGTTCTTTTATCTACCATGCATCACAGCGAAACAATCGATGAGACATCCAATAAACCTGAAATGATCGCCTTTTATAATTCCACTAAAGGAGGTGTGGATGGAATGGATGAAAAAACTGCAAAATATACATGTAGTCGCCGTACTAGAAGGTGGCCAATGGCTATCTTTTATAAACTGATAGATATTTGTAGCGCAAATTCTTTCATTATGTATTCCTCTTTCCCGGGAAATGATATAACACGTTTCAATTTTGTGAAAATATTGGCGGATCAGTTAATTGAAAAACATGTGCGTAACAGATTGGAGATGCCAATGTTACACAGAGAATTGAAACATTTAATCTGTCGCGTTTTACATCAAGAAGAGCCAACACCTGTGACTGAGGAACGCCTACATACACGTAAATATTGTTATATATGCCCCTCGAAGCTAAAAAGAAAGACTGCCTATACATGTGCGAACTGCAAAAAGCCAATATGTCTGCAGTGTTCGCGAAAATCTTGTATAAACTGTTGTCAAACTCTAGAAAATATATGAAACATTCACCTCGTGCAGGTTTTTTTATATTAAAGTTTACAGCCCTATTCTTACTATTTTACCGTTTGTGGGATCTTATAGTATAAGGTTTAAATTCAAATAACTGTTGATTTATATGTTTTGTTAATATTAGCGTTGCTTTTTATTTGTATGTTTAGCATTTGTAACAAAATGGAATGCGCCAATTATTTCGTGGTTTTTTTGCATAATTTTATAGTATTTTCAAAATATTGATAATAAACATGATGTATGAGATGTATTTTGTTTTACTTATGAAGAAAAAATCAGCATACTTTTTGTAAAAAGAAAAATGTATTGCATACATTAATAGGAGTCTGTCAGACTCCTTGTCCGTGTTAGAGGATAAAAAATGTATGTCCGTAGTTAAGGGTTAATTAAAATCAACCTTCGATTATCATTTCACGGGCAACAACTTAAACGGCTTGATGGATTTTGACATATGATATTTGTTGATGAAGAAAAACAATTTCGAAAGCTTGACTTGAAAAAAGAATGACGTTTTTTCTTGCCTGACTTCATTTGTGTTTGGCTGAATCCGCGATACATGATCCTTTGCATCACAGATAGTCAGCCAATTACTTTGCATCCAGATTTCCATGGATACTGCTAGTGACATTGGATATATACTAAAATTTTATAAAATCTGAATGGCGCATTTTTACCGAGATTTGCAGCTTTGAAGTTCAATTTCTACGGGCTGCAGCTTAAGAGGCCTGATTGATTCTTTATTCCTTTCAGTTACTGGAGTCGGATAGTCTGTATTTTTTTTGAAAATGTACCTACAGGGTTTGTCCGGAAGGTAATGAGCTTCATTTATTTGTGACGCAACTTGGCAATGTAGCGCGACGCGAACAGTTGGGAAGGGTGGGGAAACCTTTAGCTTTCCACTTTGCACTTTCCAACGATACTCTTGCCAGTTGCCTCTGAGCTCTTGCAGGGTGCGTACGCTGCTTTTTGTGAGCCCTTGTTTTGCGATAAAGTTTTGTGTGAAACTAAACAAAACATGGAAGGAGACATCGGATTTGCTCCAAACAGCGTTTGGGGATGCCTGCCTATCATATTCATAAGTAGAAAAGTAGCACAAGTCGCTCCGGGAAGGGCGGGAGGAGGTCGATGACGAAACGAGTTCAGGACGTCCATCGACATCGCGAACAGAGGACAATGTGACCAGTGTTCGAGAAATTCTCAGCACAGACCGTAAGCTGAGTGTCCTCTTGATTGCTGACTGTTTGCACATGCCAAAGACCACTGTTCACGAAATTGTGTCGGAAGACTTAGCAACGCGCAAAATTTGTGCAAACTTGTGCCCAGAGCTTTGAGCGACGTTCAAAAACTCCATCGTGTGGCTGTGTGTGAGGAACTGAAACAGTTGTATGCAGATGCAAATTTCCTACACAAGTACCACCCGGAGACAAAGCGGTAAAGTGCGGAATGGCACAGGTCCGTGTCGCCGCGCCTGAAGAAAGCTCGAATAAGCAAGTCCCAGGTGAAATCCATGGCCATTGTCTTCCTCGATGCTAAGGGAATCGTGCACCTACAGTTTGTACCCCCTGTCCAGACCGTCAATGCTCAATTTCACAAAAAAGTTCTTTAAAGACCTGTCCACAGGGTCGCCTGGTTCTGAAGAGAAATTCGGTCGTCATGGAAACTGCACCACGACAACGTACCATCCCACCTTTGCTACCGTCGCCTACGTGACCCGGAGCGGTGTGCCCCAGCCACCGTACAGTCCCGATCTGACCTCAGCGGACTTTGTTTTGTTTCCTCGACTAAAAAGGGACGTCAAGGGGCCGCATCTAGATACTCTAGACAACATTCAAGCTACTTTGACGGCCACCCTAAACAGCTGGGATCATACGCGGCTTGGAAATCACCCGGTAAAACTGTATCGACTCAGGAGGGTGCTACTTCGAAAAATATTAAGCTTATTTACTTAAATGATGAATACATTTTAAAATAAAATAAAGCTCATTACTTTCCGGACAAACCCTGTATCTCTATCTTTAGGTGTATTTTACTTCTCAAGCTGAAACCAGGGGGGCATATGCCCCCCTAGTGGCCGCCCATGATTCTAAAAAATGTCTTGAATAAGCGCTTTGAAAATCATTTGCGGTATTTTCATTCAGGTAGATAAACTGGTAACTACATAATATTTTTAGAAATTATAGTTTTCATACACTGTTTCTCTGTCTACGTTTAAAGTTAACCGACCAAATTTACCACTAGATACAATAAACATTACGCTATCTTTGCAAAAGCAAAAAAGAGCAAATGTGTTCGGAAACCTATCGTTTGTATTTTTACAACTAAGTTTTGACTCACATTCTACGTATTACGATATTAGTTAAGTACATAGTGAATTCGTTTGTGTTTTAAAAAATATTTCTGTTATTCATATAAAAAATCCACAGTATTTAGTAACTACTGGATGGCAGCACGCTCATCATGAGCCTTCTGAAGGATCCGCTTTGTTGTATCTGATCTGGGTCTGCTCCAGTTATCGTGTTCGGATAAGGGTTTTGGTTAACGACGTGATGCCCAGTTTTCTGGAACAAAAGGAGAATAAAACTACTCTAGATAAATATGAATATATTAAGAATAAAGAATAGTGTTAGTATTGCCAAATGCTTTAGAATTGCGAAATGTGACGAAGCCAGCACTACGTTGAAAAATAAAAAAAAAGTGGCGTCAAATACAACAGAGGAGTTAAACGGGTCAAGTCAGCCAAACAGTTTCATACATTATTTAGTCCATTTACATTCTTTCCCTGCCCTGCCAGTAGTTACTGTCCCTCTGGCAACGTTGTCTCATCACACATATGCGCGGCAGCACCCACCGCGCCACCGATGCAGCGTTTATTCCATGTATAATTGTTTTATGCGCTGTAGTACGGATAGACTAGTCAACCGGACAAATAAGCCAGGAGGTCAACTTAGATAGCAGGGTTTAAAGGCAAATGTTCGGGGTAATCTATGATGTGTGAAATATGGCTAATAGGTGCACAGAATTACCGGAGTTGAGAGTGTATGAAACATGGTGTCCGTACCCTAAAATCAAAAAAAAATGTCATATACCCTCCCTCACCTCCTACAATCCCAACCCCGCAAAATACTCCAAATTTTTTTCTGAAACTGGTCATTAGGGTTTGAAACGTAAAAAAACGAAATTTGAGCAATTTTTATTTCCCCATGCCTTTGCCCGTAGCTCTGCCGCCACTGATCCGATTTTATAAATCTTTATAAATGCTTTTTGTCCTTGGCATAGTGATGACTGAAGATTTCATCCAAATCCGAGCAGTACTTCCCAAGTTATACGCTGTCCAAGGATTAGCGGACAGACAAACAAACAAACCGACGGAAATGGGTGACAGTTTTTCATGATGTACATATTATATAGCATTCAAAAAAAATTTTCGCAATTACAATATTCCCTCGCTCAGTGGCGTTGAAATTAATATCTGTAGGATTTTAGTAGCAATAGATTAGGGTTCATTTCCCTTAGGTTGCGGTTTAGTCATGGGGATAAAAGCGAAAACACATTACTATAGCATCACGTGATGTTACGTCCAACATACTGGTGGAATTTACAGGTATCAGGTAATTGGAGTTGCATTCAAAGTCCTTAATGAGATTGTCCTTTCTGTACAGGGTAGTTGACAGAATCAACACTATTTTGTATGATCTGCATAAACCATCGCCAATCAAAAGTCTAGCCGTTCTGCGTAGCTCTTTCCTACTTAAGGTGGCACGTCCCTTTTTTAGACTGTTTTTCAACTTCCTACTTGCAGCAGTATTCTAAATCATTTTGATTTAATAGTTTCACGGTGTGTATAGGGATGACTAAAAAAAATGTTTTCGTTTTTTTTTGTCAAGTAATGTATTTTTTTTTTCATTTTTTCTTCCATCGGAACTTGGTAACACATGTAAGTACAGCTCTGAAATTGTGTGTGAATATTCCTCTTTTATGGAAGAATGAAACGAGTGATTACTTTTGTTCGTACCAGTTTTCCTTTTCGAAAAATCCATGCTTTTCTTGAAAACTCAACTTGCTGCGAGACGAGGCTTCAAGAAAATCTAAGATTTTTCGAAAAGGAAAAGTTATAAGAACGAAAGTAATCCCTCGTTTCATTCTTTCATAAAAGAGGAATAATCACACATATTTTCAGAGCTGTACTTATATTTGTTAACAAGTTCAGATTGAAGAAATAATGCTCAATAAAAAGCACAAAAAATGCATTTTTAGACCAAAAAAAAACGAAAACATTATCTTTAGTCATCTTTCTACACACCATTGAATTACCAGATGAAAATGATTTAGAATACTGCTGCAAACAGGAAGTTGGAAATAAATCTAAAAAAGGGACGTGCCACCTTAAGGAAGGTCTCCTCAGCGCCCGCTGGGCTTGAGTTTTTGTCATCAGTCTGCCCTACTTCTTTGAGTTCTGATAAGAAACACTTGGGTTCTCGAGACCTCTTTGTCTTACACTACAATGAACGGAAAGTTGAGAAGATGCATTTTTTGCTTTGAGAGAACATATAAGGAGTAAAGTGCAGTTAGGAGCAGTTAGGAAGAATTAAACTCCGTTGAAAATGTTTCAAAAAAGAGCAAGGCCTCATAATTTAGAAATATGCCTAGAAACCTCAATATCGTCCATCAGTGAAGTTGATCTTTCCAGTTTCCCACTGCATGAATTAATAAAATGCAAATATGTTACATCGTTGAATGTTGCTGGCTAGAAACACAGATTTAGAAAACAACACTCTTATTCCCAAGGTTTTGAGGACGGGAAGAACAGCGCACTTTTGGTTTTCCAGAAGGATTATTTTATTCTATTTCCGAGCGCATACGTCAAGCAATTACGAAAGCTAATATTTGAAGACTTAAAGTAAATATTGTGCTAAGTGCCAAAAAATCGGTTGTTCATTTTATACTTGTAAAATGTTCTAGGTACCATAACCAACAACATGGATAAAGCGCTAAGTGCCATGGCTATTATAAAATTCTGAAAAAATCCGAACAGAGTGCGTGCTTGTCAATCGCCATAACGTCGCCGGTAAAAAATGTGCTAAGTGCCAATAGATAGAGCTTTGGAAAACAACAAGAGATTGAAGAAAAATGTACCATTGAAACTGTCGCTGAAATGACCCTTTCAAACCTGACCTGCCAAAGTAGAATTCTTGAAGAAAAGAAACAAGATCTGCTGGCAATGATTCCTTATTTTAAGGAAAAAAATAGACAACTTTATGAAGATCTATTGAATACTAATATTCACTAGGAGCTACATTTTTTATGTTTCTTATTATTTCGTTATTATTTACCACAATATTTATATTTTTGTAATGGCACATAGCACAATCTATGATTTAGTAACTGTTATATTTTTTTCCTGTTATTTTTTCACAAAAAGTTCCCGAAAATATTTTTGAATTTTCAGAGAGTTTCTTTTTGATACATTGATTGTAGAACAAAAAATATTGTTTATCTAAAAATAATAATTTTGGCACATAGCACATTATTTCCTCCAAGTCTTCATTTGTACAGAGTACACTGTGTAAGAATTTACGAACGCAGCCCTGTATATTAAAAAATAGTTAGGGATGAGTTGTATTTACGTTATGTTCTGATCAATTTTATTACAGCTGTTCTTTTTGAAGTTTGAAGTGAGCCAGACGTTCACCAATTTAACAACCTTATCTCAGAACTGTCTCACTTCAGTTGCAGAACGATCGCAAGTGTTACATAAAAAACATTTTTAGTATCTTGTTACTGTTAGTTTGCGGCGTACAGTTAATAATACTTTAGTATGTTAGTATCGTAATAAAGCAAATAAGCTATACATACTTGATAAGCGAGCGGGTGGTGCTACATGCTACCTGCTAATTATTTTTTACCTTTGGTGGAATTGACTTGTTCGGAGCGTAAATTCTGCTTTGTGGAGGAACTGTCACTTCGTGCACATGTTCTCCCAATTGCTCCTCTTGGATTGCTCTGTACGTCTCGCTCTCGGCTGGGTTAAACTGCACTTTTCTTTTTATTTGTCTGTGAAGAATAAGCAGTCAGAGACCAGAGCACTCAATATTATCCGTGTAGGATGGCCGCTAGCGTGCTAGTATCGCTCTTCTAATTATATGGAGCAAAATACAACTGGCAGCTTGACAATAGTAAGTCTGTTTATCTAGAATGCCAAATACTAATGAAGCTTGTCAGATCTGCACCAACTTTGCTATGTTGCTAGTTATATTTTTCTCCGTATCAACACGCGATATTAGCGCAATAATCATTGTACAAGGCTAGTAGTGAAATTTGGGCCATATGAAGAAAATGTAAGGGTTATAACGCCTCCGAAATTTACATGGTTGGTATATATGGACATACGAGTGCATCAATCGTTAAGACTGTGACGTTAAATCCCAATTTTCTTCGAATCAAGGAGATTCATTTTTATTTTTTTTACTTTACTATTGAAAGCACCAATCTGTGTATTCTTAGATTTTTCTCATGTGTTTTTTGAGTGAAAGGAAGTGAAATAGCTCGCTATTTTGATAAGCTTTTGGCTTTATTTTTCCACAAGCTTTTGTGTACAAACATAAGCCTTGCTTTGCTTCTATAGGGAACCATCCCAGAACCATTCTGGTTCCGCCAGTAGGTCTGACATCAGGAAGACCTAATGCGCAAAATGGGAACGGTTCTGGCGCAGTTATTTTTGTAAAAACCAAACAAAGCTATGAAAAATCTAAACTGCTCGAATTAAAAAAAATTGAATTGTAAATGCTTTCATTTGATGAAACTCTTGCTATAATGATTGAATTGAGAACTTTGTCAGACAATGATCACGTTCATCACAGCCCGCTGTATTTATAACTGTAATGTCATTTTCACTGAACGCTTAAGTAGCTGATCAACGCTTCCGATAAGAAATATACTTACGGTTTAACTCCAGTCTGTTTATGGATTGTGTCGATAACATTTGGCTCACTATACAGGTTGATAGGAGAATTGAATTGTTTGTGGACCAGCTATAAATTGAAATAATTAAATTAGAATATATTATTATATTCAGATATATGCTCCATGCAAAAAAGACTTTTGGATGTTGAGTTTTCACCATGAAGATGATCGTTGATATGTATATGGAAATGAATGAATTTTTTAAACGGAGACTGTCACAGATGTAATGATTTCGTGCGCAGGGAATCTCAGAAAAACCTGTAAATATGACAAAAATTACTATATTTACAAGATATATCCTAGAAGGCTGATCTTGTGAAGAAACAGCTCATTACGATATCTTACATTAAGTGTTTCTTATGTGCCCTTCCATTTACGCAAGCATTTTAAAAGTTGGTGATTTTCTACATGATGTGACAGATTATGTACTGCCAAAATTGCACGTTTTTTGAGAATTGCTATTATTAACCGGTAAGGAGTTCATTTTGAAAAGTGTGGCCCCAAAAAAGTTATACACACTGCTCAATCTTGCTTTCTCAAAGGCTGCAGCCACAAGCAGCAGCTTTTGAGATACAAATAGAATATATATGAAAAAGGAAAGTGCGTATGTAATAAACTGTGTTATAAATACGCGTTCCTTTTGAAATGTTACGAGGATGTGACGATAGGAAACAAACCTACTACAATGATGTATTGCATAGTTGTCTGAATAACGATTTATCGGTATATGGTCTGCTTAAGTAAATAATTTGCTAGGCGCTTGGTATGCAAACAGTATTTGTGGGTTTTGCCATCGTATAATTTTAATACCAACAAATAATTAAAACCTTCACATGTATGTTTTGGAAAGTTGGTTCCTGACATTGACGATGATTGTTGCGAGCAATGATACATGAAAATGAACATGAATATCTACTGGTTCACTTGTATTTATCAAACGGTTGAAAACTCATGCATAGGAGAATATTTTGTCAATGCAGATATTCATCATCTAAGCTTTGCGTTGAAAGGGAGCTTTATATGTAACAAAAGTAACGGGATGGCCCAGGTGAGGTATTTTTAATGAAGTTCGAGATCAAAGGTGACCTTGAATATCATCTTAGATACTATTTCAAGGCCATCCTTTTTATGAAAAAGAATTAGGTGAGGCTAGGGAAATTCCTAGAAGCTTAGCAGAATCACTGAGGAAAAAAATAAGGACAGACCTTTAGTAGCTTTTAACAATAATTTCAATATATTGACCTTGGAGCAGACCATGCCTTTTAATATCATAATAGTACGTATTAGAACATACAATTGTCCATTACCGGTGTCAAAGAGAGGTTTTGAGTTAAAAAAAAGTTGACCTTGGAATGACTTTCAAGGTGAATTTTAAGGTTGATTGAAAGATCACAATTGAAAGCCTTGTTAAAAATTACTCATGGAGAGTTTTTTCATAAATAATTCTGCTAAACTTCTATCAGTTTTCCATAGCCTCATACATTTGATCTTTGTTTGACCTTTGGAGACTACCTTGATATCAGATTTGAATACATAATCAGATGTACTCATAGAATTTTCCGTTATTTCAATTGCTCTGTCAAAAATGAAACAAGAGTTGACCTTGAAATGACCTTGAATGTGAGGCTTAAGGTCAAATCCAGGGTAACAATTTGACTCTTTGTTCAAATACCCATTTTACAGCAATTTATTCAGATGGATTTCTTCAAGGTCATCCTGATTATGTTTTGCGTTGTTTACATCAGTGGACAAATTTATGGATTATGTCACTGATTGTTGCTAGAAACATTTTGAGCTATTATGCCTATTGTGATTTTGATTTTGAGGCAAATCTCATAAACAGAAACCATATTGTTGAATACTGCAGTTATATAAAAAGTTATATGCTTGAAATTTGTTCAAGATAATGGAAAGGAAAACAAGATTGTCTGCACTGCATGGATTTATTTGACGTCAGATTCTTGTTTTACACTTTTGAAATTTGGCTATGAACTCAACTCATGAAGGAATCCGAGGATTTATTGTCAATGTTGAACGGATAAAAGTTAGTCAAAACCTGGCTTTAATCTTTCTCAATAACCCTTACAGAGGCGCTCCGTTACTTTTGTTACTCCGGGTAGATAATCTGATTTAGAATCCTGTAATGTATTGTCTGAAAAAAAATGATACAGTGGAATGTTACCGCGTATTCCGAACTGAAAATTTCACTTCTGTTTGGAGGAATGGACTCCTGATACCGCTTAAGTTTTTTGCGTCATCTAGTCCTGTAGTAGATTATTCATTTTTATGTGTCATACAAAAAAATGTAGTTACGTAGTCAAATTTACATGCTTAGATATGAACATCTGTATTTTTTCAGTGAAACAGCTTACTGAAAAGAGGATCATAGATATAAAAATGATCATAGTAAATTGAAGTAAGAACTGTAATGATTTACATGAAAATAACAGAAAATCGTCAGTAGGAGAAACAGATACAGAATCAGATTGAAAAAAAAACAGTTCAAGGGATGCAATAACCTGTTTACTCGGATCACCACTTGATACTCTTTCTAATACCGAAGAGGCAACCTGAAAATATCAGTTATTTTCAAGGCTGATTTACGCAAAAATATATAATGAAGGCTAAAAATAGTGTTTAAATTTGGTTGCCATGCGGCGGAAATCGTTAGATTATATAAAGAGTATAGATAATTTCTTTTGGCAGACTGCATCGTCTAAAAAAATCCAGTGTTAATAGTATGTATACATGGATATTTTTAACTTGAAATCATTTATTTACGCTACGATTGAATAAATGATGAATATTATCTAGGTCACACTTTCTACAATTAATCATCATTTTTAATATTTTTATAAATCATATTTTAACAAAATCCAAGAATCTACAAATAGCCTTTGAGACCATAGAAGAATGACATCGAGTCTTTTTTATCTTCTTAAACGTTCTCAGTTATCATATACACGGTGTTTATCAGACATGCAGAGAACATTGAAGGGTTAACCTCGTCAGCCCTGTACAATGGCCTCCAGGAGCACTAGTATTACACTTCTCTATAGAGGAAAATACAACTGGTAACTTGGCGAAATTAAAAGTAATGTGAAATGCCAAAATACAAGTGCCAGTCTACATTGCTTCCCTAATGTTGCACCTTGCTCCTTCGATATTAGGGGGGTGTTATCGAATCGCGACATAGTTTTGAATCCGACACTGGAATTTGATTTTTATGTTTTTTGCATCGTTTGTCACTGTGCTTCCACTTTTGTTATTTGATTTTTAAACAGGTATTGGAAAAAGGTGATCAATAAGAAAAAAGTATTTTCAAGCGACTCATACTCCTACTTTTCATTAGCCGTTTTATGGAACGCTGAAATAATATCGGACATGACATTCATTGTCATATGGTCTTAGCTTTGCGGTATTTTGTTGAATGAAAAATGTCGATTGCGGTATTCAAGAGGGCAATTTATGAGTTCCGAGCGACATCTTAGCCATTTCGCATACAACATTGACCAACAATCAGAACACCCACATTGTTGGTAGAACAGTAGTAGAAACTGCAAACCAAGAAGGTCGTTTCAGATACTATACAGGGTGGCGCATCGAAAACGAAACAGACGCATTTACTGGCAGCTCAGTTTTTTTTTTTGAAAAACGCTCAGACCCGTCGGTTTTGTTTTCTAGGGGGACACAAGTTTGGAAAAACACACGTTAGCACGTGCAGCCCCCTAAGCGGGGGTGACACCACCCCCAAAATCTTAAATGGAAAGGGGGGTCGAGTGATACCTTATTTTAAAGGTCTTTCAATTCCCTTTATAATGATATAAAATTAATGTACTTCAGTTCAGTAGTTTTGAAGTTAGTGGAGATCAATACATTTGGCAGCAAAGTAATTTAAAAATGAAGAATGAACTGACCCGTTAGGCAAGTAAATGTTGAAAATGGCCACCATGACTCTCCATGCAATAATGAAGATTTTGCTCAAAACGTTGCCGCACATTTTGCAATATTTGAGGAGTAATTTGAAGGCACCCATTCACAATTCTTTGTCGCAGGTCTTCTAATGATGTTGGCTGAGTAGCATAGATTTTGCTTTTTAAATGACCCCACATAAAGAAATCCAAAGATGATAAATCTGGCGATCTTGGGGGCCATTCAATGGCACCTCTTCTACCAATCCATCAATCTTGAAACGTCTGATCTAAATATTGTCGAACACGTAATGCGTAATATGGTGGAGCATCATCTTGTTGGAACATCAACCTATTCGCAATGTACCGCCGATCATTCTGATTTTCAATTATGGCTGTTAATGCAAGATCTATGGCGTCTTCCAGTAATTCCAAATACATTTCACCGGTCAAATTTCCAGGTAAGAAAAAAAGACCAACTAAATGATCGCCAAAAATACCAGCCCAAACATTTAATTTTTGTGGCTGCTTTGTATGAACCTCATGATAAATTCTGGGATTAGAATCGGACCAATATCGGCAGTTTTTCGGTGACGTCAAAAGAGCATAGCTTTATTATTATACAGGGCGGCAATGTTGCAAGAAAGTATATCCAGGATAGTCAATTAAAAATATGTGAACACTAAGGCATGGGTTTGGTCCAACCTTAAGCAGCAAAAAACTACCTTTTCAGGGGATAACTAAATATATTTGTTGATGTTTGTAAGTTTTATTGTTTACATGTAAGTAAGTAAACTAAGATTGACTCAATTTTCCATAAAAATGCAGTATGTTATATGAAGGAAAATATGAACAAATATAATTTTAGAACTTCAATTGCTAAAAACTAAAAATTGCCATCAAAGTTTTTATAGAGTTTGTATAGAGTTTTTACTATCCAGTATCTGAAACGACTATTGGCTTGAGCCTCTCCAACTTTCCGAACCAGCTGTCTTGTATTACTAATAGTTTCGACCAAAACACCTCAATTTCTCATCAAAACCCCCAAAAAGACATTTTATTTTCGAAGTCGGAAAATCTAGTCATTTTGAACAAATTCAAGAAGAAGGAAAGAGCGCAGGCCATTAAATTGCACCATCTTTGTGAAGTGACCTAATAAAAATAAATATTACGAAAAAATGTTTAGTAAATAGAGAACCGTGCATTTTCCTGTATAGAAATGTCATACTACACCTAGTATCCATTGAATAGGACCGGCTCAAGAATTAGCTCGTTGTCCTTGAGAAGCCGCTTTGTTTTAAAGGCGCACTATTATAAGTTTTGTTTTTAATATTTGTACCTTTTGCTTCAACAAATAGTCTGGAGTGTGGTGTGGTGGCGCTCTGAATGACGGGTTTGGATGGTGACGAAGGTAACTTTCAGTCGGTGGTTCACGCTTCACTTTGGCACCAGGTAACACCAAGGGGGTGGTACGGTACGGCTACAACAGAGGAAACACATGTCACAAAACACTTGTCACACACATACGAGTACATATTTATTGATCATCTCGCGGTTCAAGCCGCATTCAATATAAACATCCAATATTTAACAGCTCAATTTCGTATCAAATGCCTGGCAGTCGCGAAACGGCAACATTGCACTGTTTCATATTTTAAGAGTTATCAATCCTAATGGGACATATCGTAGCTTGAGGTATTTGAGCGATAAGTATTTTATCCTCTATATCCCGGTGAGGGAACACAAAATGTTCCGAAAAGCTTGCAAAAATTCTATCGAAGAAAATTTAGATTTAGGTAACTAAAATAGTTTTCTTTAGCATTACGAAAAGTTCCGGATTTTCAGAAACTATTATTAAGTACATTCTCAAATTATCACCTGAAAGTGATCACTATCAAATACGTTTACAGTTTTTACATAAACATTGTCATTTTTGTACTTGTCTATGAAATCTAAATATTATAACACATTATCTAAAGGAAAACTGTGTAGTATCTTCAATGAAGTATACTTCCTACTTCTCATATTGGTATCATTCAGGTTTTAAATTTACTTCTCCTCAAGATGTGGTTGAATATTGTCAAGAAAATTTGCTTGGAAATTATGCTTAAAAAAAGTAGATAACTAAAATAGTTTTCTTTAGCATTACGAAAAGTTCCGGATTTTCAGAAACTATTATTAAATATATTCTCAAATTATCACCTAAAAGTGATCACTATGAAAGAAGTTTACAGTTTTTACATAAACATTGTCACTTTTGTACTTGTCTATGAAATCTAAATATTATAACACAATATCTAAAGGAAAACTGTGTAGTATTTTCAATGAAGTATACTTCCTACTTCTTATATTGGTATCATGCAGGTTTTATATTTACTTCTCTTCAAGATGTGGTTGAATATTGTAAAGAAAATTTGCTTGCTTTATGATTAAAAAAAGTCGAACTTTGTTATGCTATATTTCATTTTCTCGAAAGTAGATATTTTTGCTCCTCAATACAATTATCCTAAAAGAAATCTACAAGGGTTTTTGCTATGATGATTTTGAAAAGATTTATGGCCAAAAACAGCACTTATCTTCTAACAATTTTTTCTCGCTTTGAAATATATTATGTAAATATATTTTTGGAGCAATGTTAATATGAGTATTTGCTTTTTAAAATTCAGATTTTTACAATTTTTGTAATGTTCAACAAATATGGGGTGTGATAAGTGGCTCAGAAAGTTATTTTATCAATCAGTTGGCTCAAAAATCCCGTATACGCATGGCCTAATGAGAGATTTATGAAAATTGACAAAATCTCGTAAGCCAACGTAGATGTGAAAATACCCTAGAGACAACTTTTGAAGTTACTAAGTTGTCTTGACAACTTTTTTCTATATATAATATTTACAAAAAATCAAAAGATTTGTCAAGTTTTTTTTTCGATAAATGGTACTGGGTGAAATGTTTTCATTCTGGAGTATTCGACAGATTTCAGCTTTGTGTACCTGCCCAACCAGCTTGAAGATACGTCTTCGTATTTCTAATTTATACGACATCTTAAAGCGAAAACTTCAAAATAAATAAATGACAACTGACAGTAAAGTAAGTAAACAAACTTTTGTTTCAAAAAGCAGCTTGGTATTATTTTGTGTTTGTTAAAGTTAAAGCCAATGAATTTTGTGCCAAAACACTAAATAGAATAACTTTGTGACATGATGAAAATTTGCTTGTATGCTTTACAATATATTTCAGTATCTGAAAGAATATTAAATGAGCTGTTGGAATAAGTCTATCGATACTCTAAACTAAAAAGGAAACTTTTGTCGTTAAAACATTACCGTGTTCTAGCTCTTCTTATGAACTGCATACATACATACTCACTTAACAATGGCTATTTTTTAAACGTAATCTTGTCACAAGTTTCTTCAATAAGTACTTCACAAATAGGTCCAAATAACACTCTATACCTCAATAATAATATTGATCTTTTGTTTTTACTACAGACATTATATATCTATTATTAGAAAACCGTCTCTATCATCATTTCAGCTTGATACTAGCTCAGTTTTTTATTATTCAGGGCGTACTTATGCATAAGGATATGTTTGTAGTGTATTTTACCATAGTCATTAGTCCATGAACTACCCGTATCAATATACATTTGCATGCTGTAAACATATACTCGAAATCCCCTATTATTTTGCATATCAAGCATGCCTATTGTTGTTAACTGGGATAACTGGAGGGTCGAGTTAGGTAATGTACAGATGTTGCACAAATAAACGAAAAATTTTCAAAAAATCGAGGGCACTTAGATACTAATTATGCAGGCCTACAAGATTCCGTGGACCAAATCTCTCAGTTCTCTAGTTTATATATATATATATAGAAATATCCTATCCTACTTTTGCCTAATATTTTAGCTTATTTAGCTTAGACAATTATATTTTTCCTCCAAAACAACATAAACATCATCTAAAAGTACAAGCCCCGCCCTTTCAAATGCCGTTGAGTTTGCTTGAATATATTTTTTTCTTTGAGATATATCACTTCGAAATTTCCGAGATGGGATTTCAAAATAAATTGCATGCTGTATTAATTGTGATTGATACTTTTACTCCTAAACATGGCGTAGTCAAATTTTAAATTCTAGCTATCTTCTTTCGACTCCATCACCAACTTACACAACATATATGTCCATATTGGAATTTTGTACATTTAAATAGAGTTTTCAGTCCTAAGTAGTGATGTATTTCCTTAGTTGGCCATGATGAATTGTTGTTCGAATGAAAATTTCAAGAAATTGCATGGTGTGGTTAATTCATGCACAGGCAGCATATGTCAGTTTAGAAGATCGTAAATTGGACATATTTGAGGAGCAGACTTGCAAAATGCATTTTGTTCAAATTTTCCATAGTTGAGATAGAGGTGGCGCTGCATTCCTATGATGAAATACTAACTATTTATGAACATTTGAATAGTCGAAATGCATTTAGTCCCCATGTTATTAGGGGGGAAATAATACCTAGACAAACAAACTGATTTAAGTCCACTCAGTTTTTTATTTGTGGATGGAACATCAAGCTGGCAGGGGAGCGACAGAAATATCGTCAGCCTTGCTTGATTTTTTGAAAAAGACCAATTTTGCCCAGAATATAGACACTCTTCGGCTCTTCTCTGATGGATGCGGGGGCAAAATAAAAATAGCTTTACCATTCACATGGTTATACAGCTTTGCCCCAGAAACGATTAAAAAAATAGAACCTCTTCCCAGTGCGAGAACTCTCTTATCTTCCGGCAGACAGAACTTTTGGGAGAGTGGAAAAGACACGCGGTCATAAAAACACCTGAAAAATATTGGGAACTTTACAAACAAATAGGTGAAATCAGAAAACTTGTAACTGATTGGTCATTGGTGAATATAAAACAAGCAACAATCTGATTGGAAAAAGTCCTGGTAATTAGCTCAAGTAAAAGAATAATATCATCAAACGAGAAAAGCCCCCAGGCGTTGTGGTGAAATACGACTTGGAGATGAAATAAAGCAGAAAAAGCTTGATAGTCTAAAATATCTCTTGTTACATTGTCTGGTGACGAATGGTATGAAACAGACCCGGAGCTGAAATGGATGGCTGAAATATTTGAGAAAACTGTAGCAAACTGTAATGATGAAGATGAAGAGCACGAAAATTACGAAAAAACTTGTGGATGTGCTGAGAATGATGATAATGAATTCATTTAAAAATAAAATCGTTTACTACTAATATTATTATAATACTTACAAATTTTGTTTGGTTTCATGATAATGACTCAATATAAAACATATTTTTTTATTTTTTTAACTTGACAATGACATTCAAATTGTATTTTTACCACTAGAAACAATCAAACTGCATTCTACCCAACATTTTTTTTAATTTTTTCAAGTTGTTTTTCGACATTCTTGTATCAAACTTTGCGATGGGGGTCGATATACCTGATGACATTATATTATCCCAAAAGTTTTTTTTCTCTTATGGTGAGATTTTCTGTACTAGTTTTTTGCTCCTCCTGAAAATTGGTAAAAATGGACAAAATGCAATTTGCAAGTCTGCTCCTCATTTGTAGTAACAGAGTTTAGAAGACCGAGAAGGGGAATAAACCGAGCAGTGAACAATGTACAGAGAAGAGTCAGGTTTTGCCTAGAAAATATCGGGCAACGCTTTGAACATCTGCTATGATTTACCTCTGCTTTATGATTATTGTTATTGCAATCAATAAAATTTTCATTTTGTGTTCAGGTTTCACCTTTTTATTTCCTTATAATCTTCATTCCAATAACAATTTCATGGCCCACTAAGGAAATATGTCGTTGAATTTATGAAATTCATTTAAATGTACAAAATTCCAATTAACGGCCATATGCAAAAACCAAGCTGGTTTTGGAAGTCGAAAGAAGAATCCTCGAATTGAAAATTTGACTATGCCATCTTGGAGAGAAGAGTAAAGTAGTCATAATAACATGCAACTTATTTTGAACTCCTCCTTTTACATAATAAAGTCAGGAAAAGATAAATATTACTTTGCGATAAATCTGGTATATGGAACAAATGACTATCTCATAATTTCAAGGCATATCTAGAAAATTATTTTGTTTTTTTAGCTAAGTAAGGTTTGGCAATGTCAATATAACTTATTATACACTTTTTGGCATCAGAATTAAAGACCTCAATCAGCTGTCTGAAAATCCAAAATGGCGTCCTCAAGAAAAAGGTTGAGGCTGGAGGATAAGAGACAAAACATCATATTGAAATTCTAATTATGCTATGCTGTAGAGAAGAAAAAGTGGAAATGTTAATGATCAATTAATTTTGAAATCCCACTTCAAATAATGTCAGAAAAAAAATAAAACAATTTTAGGAAAATTCAGTTTTTTTTCGTCGCTCTTCGGGCATAGCAGCATTTTGTTATCTATCTAAATACGCAATTTTTCCCCCATTTAAGAGGGTATCCTTTTACCATCTCCGAGATCCCAATGGCGAGGGGCGAATTTGAATCACTCAGTATAATCTGGGTATTTTAATATCAGTCTGACGATGCTTTTCAAATAAAAGTAAAACACATTACTAGTTCTACAATGCTTCGGTATGAAACTCGTAACAACGAGTTGTACTACTCGATCGTAAAATATTAAACATAATTTTCTTGTGCTTGAAAAATGGCACGCAATTAGAGGAGAAGTAGAAGTTCTAAATACTTGGAGCGTGTAAGCAGTAAGCATGATTAACTCAAAGAAAATGAATAAATGACCTCGAACTAATTTATAACCCTCGACCTCCACGTATTTATTTCATCCACTTCATCTTCAACCAGATCCCCAATTAGCAGGCCTACTATCTTAATGTCGCGTCCTAACCCAAATTTGCATCACCGGTCTATTTTCAGTAATAAAGTAACCTAAATTTTGCATGCGCTCGATGCGAATAACTCGAACTCGCACTTTGCTGACATAAAATTGAAATTTGATCGAAACGATGGCGCCCTCATTAATTTCACGCCAACTTGATCTAGTGCTGCACGACCCAAATGTCACACGAAACCGGGCATTTGGCAGTTAAGCGGTGAAATTTTTCGCAACATTGCAAGTATGCGTGCAGGCAGTTTGTTTTTCGTGAAATATCATGGTTAATAAATTGTGAACAAGGATATTAACTCTTCGTATGATACGACAAACACAGAATGCGATGACACTTTAATTAATGAGTCATAGGTACTGTGGAAATATTTTTGGACGAATTAATTTTTGATGCATTTTTTGATACAAACATATATATTTACTTATGTTATACAGAGTTTTACGATCAGTATTACACAACCTGTCATCATAGATACTATAAATGGCAACACTGGCTTGATTATGTTTACCTAGTATAGGGATTAGACCTGCAACTGTTGTCCCTGTCCGCCAGAATACAGCATATGTGATTGGTTATATTTAGGTAGAATACGTCAATCAATGATTAAACTCTCGTATTACTAGAATTTAAAATCATCTTATAAACGTTAATTATGATAATAATATAATACAATTTCAATGCAAGGAGACCAAGCTACATACTTTCGTTTCTAGCTCATTACATGTGTCTGTTAGTTTGCACAATAGAAAATATTAAGCAGCTATTGAATCGCGTTTTTTTCGATGTTTTAGTATGTTTAACGTAGAGATGTCCTAATCGACAGATGTATCCATGCTTGATTTTTTAAAAGGAAACATGTGTCAGCTATCAAACTAACAGGATTCAATGATATTTACACAAACCTTCAGAAACTGATGGACCTAAAGTAAACCTGGTAGTTATAATCAAGTCACTTGAAATGTGTTTATAGTAAACAGGATTTAAAAATAAGTTTAATCTGCGTCATAAACATATTCGTTGAGGTAGAGAGCGTACGGTGTTATTTTAAATAACTTTTGCATTGCAGAACTGGCACTCGACAAAATTGCTTGCTGTACCTATAATAATCCTAAGGTTTTCTGCCAGGAATCATGTCACTTATACGCTTTTGGAAGTACCTAATGTTTAATTTCTGTTAAAAGTTTGTCAAATATTAGTTTTCTTCGTTATAAAAAAATGGGAATTGGAAAAATGTATATTCATAGAACGCTGTTTGCAGTAAATAGTTTGAATTTTCCTGCTAAAACGGTATTACAGTTATCATGACACAACCAACGTCTGTTATCTGTCATCACTGTTATATGACGGTTATCTGTACAATAATGTATCCAAAGCTTAAAGACAAACAAACACGAACACACGATCGTCGCTTCTATTAGCTTGTCGTCACTGCTCATGCATTTATGGCGTGCTGACCAGGAGCACATCTATTTGGACGTTGCGCGTTGTCGTTTGTTTTTGAGAGACGAAAATCATATATGAAGACAATATAGGACGTTGAACGATTCTGAAAAGTTGTTAGAAATGGCAGATTCGATATAACTGTGTTTGGAAGCTTCTAGTCAGGAAAAGAATTAATGGAAAATTTTCATTCTTCATATTGTCACCAGCGCTATACCTTATTTCACGAGTATCCATCACGCTTTGACGTCTACTGAGGTGAACAGCGAGTGACATTTTTGTGTTAGTCTGTGTCGTTGGCAATAATGAATCGGGTGTCAAGAAAAACTAGTAAAACTGGTTTGTAGCGTTTTGTTTTTTGTATGCAAATGAACTTTTCTAAATAAAATAGCTATTAGCCAGTACAAAATGAATCTGAAGCGTACAAAAAACCAAAAGAAAATCCTACTCTGACTATCTGACGTTGACAGATCCGACAGAATTATGTGTCCTGTGCCGATATGGGGATTTTTTAGATATTACTAGATAATCAGCTGTCATTCTACCGTAATGGATACTTGTGAAATAAGGTATAGGCGGGTCACTTGGCTGATCTCATGATATATCATATTGGAATTAGTAGTTGATCATAACCTCAAAAAACGTATTGCAGCAGGAGTGACGTCACTTTGGCTTATAGTACATTCCGTCTCATGTGTTAACTCGCGTTTATTTCAACATTTTATTCACAAATTTTCCATGAAAAATATTTTGCATCTACCCAATTTTGCTCCAGATATAGAGATGATACCAATATATCTTATTTGTTAGTATGTTTTTGTGAGAATCTAAAAGTATGTACACCACTCAAAAATGTATTTTGACACGCATCATCGCAATGATAGAGTCATTGGCCTTTGCATAAGTGCTTATGAAAACAAAATTACATTTGAATAATGTGGCATTTTTAGAACTTGAGATTCTTTTCTGTATGGGTAATTGACTAATATCTGAGGAGCCATTGGGTTTCTAGATATTAATCAATAGTTAGGTATAATTATATGGTGTCTGACGGTGAGTTATAATTAAAAATATATCGTCTCAAGGTTATCAAAACATGGTTACCCTTCGCGAAAATGGTGAAAGTTGGTCAGTTCTTTGATTCATTTTGGATCGTTGGACAGATTCCAAAACCTTATAAATTATAAATACACGCATCTAGATGCGCCGCTTGTAGAGTAGATAATATTGCCATATCAGCAACCGTCAAATGATTAACTGTCAAAGACATATATCACTTTGCTATTCAAATAACGCAATAGCCAGTTTTTTGACGCGGTTTGGCCCCAAATAATAAAGTTTGTCTTTGAAAACATAATTTATGTTTACATTCAACGTCACAGAAGCCATAATCCTGAAGTAGTAATAAAATTGTAATAATAGCTACGCTAATGTTATTGTTTTAGCTACTGGAAGTATTATTGCGTGCAAAATTGCTTAATGTTTGGAAACAACAGTCAATATGTCATCCTTTCTGTTCATAACAGAACAAGTTAAAATATTTTGGTGAAAATGATTTTAGGCAATACTTTCAAGAGGAACTCTTTTCCATCAGTGATACGGATTCTGATAGAATCTCTGTTATTCGTCTGTTTGTGGTGGTGCATGGCAACTAACTAAGAACCCATTGATCAGAAATCAGCAACCCAACCCACTGAGTATTATGTAGCTTATGAAATCAGCAGTGATACTATCAAACAAAAGGATTTCCGGGAAGTGTCATTTACGCGCTTTTCTACTTTCATCTGTCATATAACAGCTGTGAAAAATCTTCAAATCCAAACGAAAATCCTTCAAACTTGTGGCAGTGAATTAGAATCAGAAATTACCATTCGAAACATAAAAATGAAGTTGCTGGAAACAATTTTCTCAAATTTCCAAAATCTCAGTCTCATTAAATTGCGCTTCATGATATGCAAAATACATAGTCCTGAGCAATTGCAAGCAACTTCTATTTCTTAAGGAATTGATTTCATCCAACCTTACTTGTCCCTTACTTGCTCTGATTTGGCTGCACCAAGTTTAATGCATGTATATAAAAGTGTTGGAGATGCGATAAGCTAGCGCCAATTGTCTGGAAATATTTCGACAAAAGCTTCTCTCAGAGTTTATGAAAACAAATAAAAAGATGTTATCGGAACCACTTAATAAAAAAATGTACTTTTATGCATTGTACTTTCTTTCGATCCAGTTATTTCAAGCATTAATGGCCGAATCGTCAGACGATGCTACAATATTGTGGAACGCCTTTATGGTCTCCTTGATTTGCAAAGTATTTGCTCTCCTCCAGAAAGGCTGAGGTATTTCTAGATTTCTACTGTTCCGTGTAAGCGTCAGCGCTCTGAGGCTATGTTTTCTTTTTGAATTGTAAGAAATTTTAGGCTGATATGATAGATGATATACATCAAAAGCATGATCAATTTGATGCAAATATATATTTGTATCATAACCCCAAAATAGAGTGCTAACACGGACCAGTATAAAACTATAAAAATCAAGGAGGCCATAAATATAGTCGACCCCTAATCTAAACTTCCTAGCACCCCTTCTAGGATACATTTTTTGTCTTACCCACATCATGGCCGATTCCTCCTGTGTATCATCCCGTAAAAAATCCTTGGGGTTAACTTTAGGGTAGCTCACGTTAGCGAACTTCAACATGCTTCGATGGAGACGTTGAGCAACGCGTCCGCGTCCAGATAACTGACAAACTGAGTTTAACTGGCCACTATTTAGAAAATATTTCATCAATGTGTCCCGCAATGCCAGTGCGTGGGAAAAGGATACCTATTTTAATTTAGCTAATATACGTTAGCACTTTCGTTGCTTATTACACCGCCTTAGGTCAACTAATATTAGTCTTGAAATAGTTCATGTTGCGGATTGGTTTCGTTCAAGTACAATGATCTGGATATGATGGATGAATTGTAGATTTAGTTTGGTGGTTTTTGATCTTCCAGTTGTATATTTGCGCATGGGTAATAGTAATTTCTTGGGTAATTCAGATTAAATTGGCAACGCCGAAATTCTATTTGTAAAATGTAATTATATTACGTATACCAAGCATCTGCGTTAGATGAAGTGATGGCCAAAAAAGTAGCATAATAGTTGAACCGGTGATCTTAACAACCTCATAGGTCAGACGTTTTAGATTTTTTAAGGGACAACATTTGCAAATAAACCAGTTTTAAATAACTTTTTATGCTTATTATGTTGTTTAAGCTTTAAAAGATTGTGATGTCGAATAACCTTCATTGTCTATAAATAATAATAGAAAGAATGGCGTCATCAGTTCTTAGAGGTAAGTTAGTCGCCCTGAGAGAAAATTCTTCCCTATCCTTCCGAAATTACCGGGTATCTGGCAACGTTGCTATGACTAACCTCGCCCCCCCTCGATCCAGACTCGAAGCAGGTGTGTTGCGTGTATTTAAAGTATCCATATATATTACTAAGTTTAAAAGGCAAATGTACGGGGAAATCTATGATGTGGGAAATATGCCTGATATGTGCAGAAAAGTAGAAAAGATACCACAAACCCCCAGTTTTTAACTCTTACATTTTCCCGAAAATGGTCAGGTGCCTCTGAAATGTCAAAAACAAAGCTTAAGGGATTTTTATTTTTTCGTTGTCTAGCCTCTAGCTCCGCCGTCACTGAACCAGTTTTCCAAAGCTACAAAGTTTTTGGTCCTTGCATAGCAGTAACCTTGTGTGAAAATTTCAACAAAATCCGAGGGTACTTTCCAATTTCTACACGGGCCATGGGCTAGCGTTCAGACAGACCGAGAGACAGATCAACAGAAATGACCAACATTATTTTTCGCTATGTGCATTTCATGACATACCTGATTTTCCAAATGTTTCGCGAAGTGAAAACCCGAAAAACTGTTATTGACTTTGTTTTTGCAGGCTAGTGGTATATTATAACTTAAGCGAGAACTATATTAATCATATTTTGCTTAAATATCGACTTCTTAACGTGTCACATATGTTTTAATGTTGCAGGTTTTAATATACAGGGTGAACACTTATTGAAATAAAAGTGATATGTTCGTGTGATTTTGTTTTCTATCTGAACAAATTAATTTTCTCGAAAGCGAATCGACCGATTTTAAAAAATCAAACATCAAAATAAAGGACTTCGAAATACCTTTCAAACAAGCTATTACTCGATACTCCTTGTCATTTAAAATTTTCAAGGGAATGACCCAGGGGGCCTATAGTGAAAGGGGGTGAAGTAATTTTTGGTTAAAAAGTTGTCCCCCTTGACAAAACTTTTGACGTGTCGCTGCGTTTTTTCTTTTAATCAGTGGTTATCGATAAATTCGTGGTGGGAAGTTTTCAAATCAACCCCCTGTATGTACTTAAGGTACATAGAGTAAAGCCAGACATAGCGAACAAAGTACGTAGACTTTCTTATTCAACGTTCTTTAATAGCCGGCAATGGCTTGTAGAAGATCCAGGTGCTTATTTAACCACTAGATAGCAAAATATGTATTTGCAAAAACTATATTTTGCAAGATAGGCGTTGTGAGAGTAATTCCATGTATATATATATATATATATAAAGAGAATATGATCATGCGGAGAAAGGTATATAACAAAAAGTAGGAAAATAATGGGCAAAATCCGCAAAAAGGAGGAAAGTGGATTCGAGCAGAAAATAGGATAGGTAACCCGAGCGATACGTGTGTTGTGGACTTCGTGTTTTGTTTTTTCCCCCTCCAACTTCGTTTCCTCAGGTTACACCCGTATCCGGATGTGTGGACATTTGTAGTTTCATATGTACATTCATTACGGGCCTGATGAAGCCAACCAGCAGAAATACGTATCGCTCGGGTTACCTATCCTATTTTCTGCTCGAATCCACTTTCCTCCTTTTTGCGGATTTCCTACTTATATATATATATATATGTACTAACATCCTTTCACCATATTTGATGTGTATTTAAAGGGCTTTCTCAGTCATACGAATGAGGATGATTGAGTTATTGCTTTTGGTAGGAAACAAGAAAACTATAAAAAGTGATTTAAAGCAAAGCGGACAAGGAAAGTGGACCACCTATTGTTTCTGTATTTAGTGATTTGCAAAATTGGTGTTTTAGTACATACAGGGTGACTTTGAAGTTGAGTCATTAATTTTCAGATAATGATTGTAGAAGGAAGATAAACCAGAATATGTGTGTAAAAATAAAAAAAAATAAAAAAAAAAATGTTTACCTTGTTTTATAAAGTATCCTCCCGACAAGTATTTCAGTGCGGACCTGTATTTGATCGTGAGGTCCCCTGTGAGGTCTTAAGTCACCTGATTCACGAGCCCGTTGTACTACATTAACAAAGGCACGAGGGGTTGGTTGCACTCGATTGGGAAACCGATCCGCATAAACATGTGCCATTTTTTATTTCGTTTGAGCCACGCAACAGACACTATTCACACGCTAACCGACAGACACTGACTGTATGTATAACTGAACTGAATAAAATACTTAATTGCAAAAACATCGTTCCAAATTCTTTCGCTTTTTTGTTTCCGATGCGATGAACCGGTAAGGCGGATTATATCCGTTGTTGCCAAACACGAGTACATGATATTATTATTGAGACAGGGCGGTACTCAAACTTCCAAAGGGCTATAACTTTGTTACTTTAATTTTACCAGAAAAATGGTAAAGGAAAAAAACATTTCTTTTGATCAGATCTACTCACTGTTAAAATAAATGACTCAACTTCGAAGTCACCCTGTATAGCACATAAATATGAAAGGATGACAAATTTGGGATCCTGGTACTGTTTTAGAAATGACCTATTCAAATAGTCACTTATGGTGTTTCTGCAATAAGTGTGTACTACGTAGCATTATTTAACGGGAAGGAATGTATTGACTTGAGTGGATTATGCCTAAAATACGCATCAACCTTTGAGGAGGCGTTTCCAGCTAAAAAAGCGTTTTGTAAATAATTGCTCCCCACATTTGTGTTTGTACTAAGAAGCCCAACATCGCACAATGCGTAACGATCTCGCCAAAACCTCATTTAACCGGACTAGACCAACATGCACCAGAATAGTGTTCACTACAACGGGCCATTCTGGAGAGGAGTTTATGACAAGAACTCGTCAGAGGTCAAAGATGAGGAGCTACAATATGGGTTATCTCTTTTCGCTAATTTATCAACTCTCTATACAGCCACAGGGGACCCTGACTGGCAACCAAGATTATCTGAAGTATCCCATAACAGGCGGAAAATCAGTAACTAAGGCCCGTATCGTAAGTATTGTAGGGCGCGTTTATAGCCTCCTTGATTGTCATACTGTTTTCTCTCCTTCAAAAATTTCTAGATTACACTTGTCCCGTATCAGCGTCAGCGCTCTCCTATTGTGAAGATATGTTTTCTTTTTAAATTGTAGGAAATTTCAGGCTGATAAAACATGATATAACTCAAAAGCAAGCACAATTTGTTGCAAATAGATGTTTGTGACATAACCTCAAAATAGAGCGCTGACACGGAGAAGTAGAAAACTATGACAAACAAGGAGGCCATAAAGGCGCCCTACAATTGTAGGGACGACTGACGATACGGGCCTTAGACGCTGTGGTAAATTTCAGTTAAAAAAAACTACGTTAAGCAATAAGAGCACGTGCGTTGTGGTTCTTATTGCCTTTTCATGCCCCTTTGAATTTGGATTTCAGTAAAGGGTTTTCCATTACGGACTTGAGAGCTCTCTTTTTAAACAAAACAAAAACCATTTGAGATATTTCGTAAATTTTATTATTGGATTGAAAATATACTCAAAACATTTATGTATGTATGGAATTCGACATCGTTCATATGTCCACTAGGGGCACGTTCGCAGGGATCGATTCGTTGAACCCAATTTTCAATGACTCGGTCACACATTTTGACAGAAACGGCCGCTGTCTCTTGTTCAATATTGGCTCTGTGTTCCTATAACGACGCCGGCTTGTTAGCATAGAATAATGATTTAATGTAGCCGCATAAAAAAAATCTAGAGATGTTAAACCACATGATCTAGGCGGCCATTCGGCAGGACCATTTCTCTATATAACAGGTTCACCGAATTTTGATTTCAATATGTCGATCGTTTCACCTGCTGTGTGGCCTGTGGCACCGTCTTGTTGAAACCAAATACCATTAATCTAATTGACTAAAAAATAACGTTGCAACACTCGTCTGTAGCGATCTCTGTTGACTGTAAGGTGACGGTCATTTTTCATCAACGAAAAAAAAAATGGCCCAATGACATCACCGCCATGAAAACCACACCAAACAGTTATTTTTTGTGGATGAAGTGGAGTTTCTTGAGGCACATGAGGGTTTTCACCTGACCACTAACGCATATTCTGTTTGTTGTAGAAGCCATTTAGCCAAAAATGCACCTCATCACTGAAGATGAATTTGCTATGAGATTGGTCATTTTCTTTCAATATTTCTAGAGCCCAAATCGAGAACGTACGTCGGTTCATATGATCGAACGGCTTCAGTTCTTGAGCTAACTTGATCTTATAGGGGTGCAGGCCAAGATCTCTTTGCAGCATTCGCCATAGTGTGGTCTGAGCGATGCCCAATTCTTGAGAACGCCATGTTCTGTTCGTTTGCGACGAAGCCTGAACGGCAGCAATATTGTCGGCACTTCGACCAACCAGAGCACGGGTATCACGTATCTTGAAAAGTGACATTATGCCGATTTTTTTTTGACATTATGCTGGTTTTTTTTTGACATTATGTGGGTTATTCTACAAGATGTTAACTTAGCACTTAGTTGTACGTGTTTCCTAACATCATGAGGCTTGTTATCAATCTTTGGTTCTGATGTGATGTAAAATCAACTTCCGAGATGGCATTACTGGAGGTCTAAGCTGTAAGTTGTATGTGTTGATGATAATTACATTGGGTTCTTATCTCAAATATACTTAATTGAGATTGAAAGCTATAAACTAGTTG